AAATCAAGGTGGTCCCACGGCCCTCTGCGGCCCAAAGATAAAAACTGTTGTTCTTTTGAGGCCCTCAAGGTGGTGCTCGCGGTAATAATCTCTGGTTTACAGCATACATTAGTGCAGTGGTTCCCAAACTTTTCATCTTTTGACCCACAAAATAACAGTAGCAGAGACCTCCTGTGCCCCCAGCTATTTCTGGATGATAAACATTTGTATCAGGTCAACTAAACATGGGCATAGTAACAATATTTTTATACTACATTTATCCATTTTAAATATACTAACCTCACTCCTTTGTAACAACTGAGACAAAAATGTAATTAATTCAGAAAATCTTTTCAGGACCCCACCTTGATGTTTCGGGACCCCATTTTGGGTCCGACCCCAACTTTGGGAAACACTGCTTTAGTACATGTTTTATTTAAAAACATATATGTAACAGAATACAAATGGATGTAATTTAAGATTAAATGAACTCATGTTAATTTAAAGCCATTCTGCCTTGGATTTTAAACTTTTTTTTTTGCCTGCTTCTCCATGTGAGTATAGAATCCTTTGGGACAGCTCAAAGACCTGGTGGAGCTGAAGGACCAGCTGGAGGACATACAGAGACGGGTAGAAGATGAGATACAGGCTGGAGTTCCTCCAGTAAGGTTCATGCAGAGATGATTATGTTAATGATCATTTAATGTCACCTTGTCATTTGATCATTACGTTTTATTTAACGTGACGAGTTTGCCCCTGAACACTTTTGACTAAACAAGACACAAGAAGAAATATCAGATTTGTTGACGTAAATCAACTGGGCGTAATAACAAAACATGTTTTTCTCCTTTTTAGGGTGGCAGCCTGCTGGCTTCTCCTTTCTTGAAAGGTTTTCTGGCCGGTTACGTTGTTGCCAGGCTACGCTCTTCGGCATTGCTGGGTGTTGCGGTCGGGACGTGTACAGGAATGTATGCTGCGCAAAACTACGCCGTTCCAAATATTGAAAACACTGTCAAGGATTACATACGCAACCTGAAAGGAGGACAAAAATGAGCAGAGAGGTGAAAAAATCTACAAGATGGTGCCGGTACAGCTGCTTACAGGGAACAGATTTACATTTCAAAAGTTAATAAGTAAAGCAGCAAATACCAAAATTCTAAAGTTAATTTAATGTAACATATAGAAATATAAATTCTGCATGTGGGATTTGTAATTGAGATTAAAAGTCCTGCTGCTCTTATAACTCATAAAAACCTCCAAAATATATCTTACTGGAAATTAAATCAGCCAGATTGCACATGTTGAGCGCACTGGCTTCAGTTCCTCAGTTACAGTGTTTACTTCTGGGTAGCAAAACTGAAACTGAGGAAGAAATCTTAAGTTTAGAGTTTTCGAGTTTATTAACGTTTAGTTGGTTTCTTGCGCCCTCTGTTGGTCAGAAATTGCAGCTAGCAGCCTCGATCAGATGGTTCAAGTGACTTAACTTTATGTCTCACAATCCAAATGTATATAATATTGATCAAACCCACCATATTTACAGGTTTACAAACATTGCAGAATAACATGTATAGGTAGAAAGAAAGCTTGTTAAATAAGGATTAGTGTTTCTCTAATTGAACGTCGTCTAAAATACGCACCAAAGCAAGACTATAAAGTTTGTATAGATTTATTGCTCCTTTAAAAGCTGGAAAATACTTTATTTTTTCTTTATGTAAGAGTGCCTAATCTGTGTTGAACTGTCTTGTCATCTCATGCCGTACGTGCAATACCCATTTTCTGAGATCATTTGTTTGCCTGGTTCATATGCTGGAATCTAGTTGATCCTTCGCACTTCTTTTAGACATTTAAAGCTGTTACTGTTTGTGTGGTAAACTTTTATTTTTTTCTGCATGTAATGTGTTTGGGAGGTGTACTACTTGAACTGTATTTTCATCCTGAATTAGACGGTTGTATGTATGTTTTAAAAAAAAAGACCATAATACTGTTTTAAATGAGGCAAATGAAGTGAACTTTTCACAGCTGGCCAAAGGAGAGGTGCACATTTAATTGGAAAAGCATTTTTTGATTGTTTTTGTCCAGACATATTTTATAAATAGCCTAGTGATTTGGAAATTTTAATAAAATTTATTGAAATAGATTTTAAAAAATTCAAGTTGATGCTGTTATATATTTATGCTCATCTAAAGCACCAGTAATGAAGTAATTTCTTTTATGAAGTATGTCTGAATACAATCTAGGTTTTGAAAATTTATTTTCAGATGGGAAAACTAAATGTCCTGATGGTTTTTCACAGTACATATATACATTTTCAAGCCTTTAACAGGTTTGAGATAAATAAGCCATAAAAGATTAATTTATCTGAAATATAAGTTTGTAATTGTGCTCCACCACTGATCTGAAAGCGCATCAGGAAAACATTTGTACTGTATAACTGGAACACACAAACGCTGTGCCTGTCATTGTGTTGTAATTTTCTGTTTATACCAATTTTGCAAGTTTTCTAAGAAATATGAACAAATGAGGTCAGGTTTTTTTTTGCTCTGTTGCTGATTTTGTTGTGCTCTTGCACATCTTTACAGAAATATTTCGCTCTAGTTTGAAAAAAAAGAAAGACACCACAAGATTCTGTAACTGGTTTATTTTGGTTCAAATAAATGGGAAAACAAATTGTCTTCAGTGGATCATTTTTCATTCACCAAATTTTATGTAAAAATTTGAATAAAACCAAACAACAACATGTCAGTATAGTTAGATGCACATGGTAAAAGTAAAAAGAAATCCCAATCTATTGAAGTTAGAAGTACAGCTTCCTGTAAAACTGGTTACAAACAAGTTCAAAGAATAGAAAGCTAATAAACGTATAATTAATCAGCAGCAATAAAATAGTGCTGCAACTATAGCGATTACATGTCGGCACAGACGCCATCAGAAGCTTAAGTTTCTGGAAGAAACTCACTGTTGCCTGTAAAAAAATAAAATAAAATTTAGTTGATCCATATTTTAAATAAATCAAATAAAGCCATTTTTAAAGGACTAAAATACACGAAATAAAAGTTAAATACAGAAAACAGGTGCAAAATAATACATCATAAGTGGTTTACTCACTTATTCATCAGAAAGAGTCAGCGTGGCTCCTACAAAGACAAATGTTTGAATGTCAGTGACTTCAAATGAATTATGAATTTTAAAACTAACTGCTGAAATATAAGTTTCTAAATTGATCTGATAACTTTATTTTGTCTCACCGGCGGGAATGGCACGTATGCTGCTGCAGTTGACGGGTCCCTGGCGCAGAGATCCAGGGATCTGTTGGCCGTCAGCTGGGTTCACACACCAGCACTGCCTCATGAAGCACTGCTGACGCTCATACAGGCCTTTCTTGTCACACCGGGGACGGAAACCAGGAACCTGCACGGGTTTCAGACCGGCAAACTCCTGCTGGCAGGTGGTGAGAGGAGCAGCTGGAGCGAGGAAATGATAAATCGAGTTTTAAAAAAGACAGAAAGGCAAAATCAGAAAAAACAAAACAAAACTAAACAAAATGTTGATTTCTAAAGAGACACACTGATTAGATGTTTGACTTCATGATTTCATTTTTAGTGTAAACATGAGTTAATGTGGTAAAGTACAAAGCAAAACTGGATAATAAAAAATTAATTAAAGCATGGCCATGAAATACTTAATGCATGGCCACAAGATAATTATTGCAGTCATTTCCACGCAAAGACTATTTATTGTTAACATGAACAAGTTTGAATTTATTTTATTTTATTTTAATATAGGCATAAATTACACTTCAATCACTTGTGGTTTGGCATGAAGTATTTCTTAGTGTTATATGTTGCAGCTGAAGATTGGAGCTGTATTTGTCCAAAAACAGCTTAATTTTATTTGAAGCTCAAGTCAACACTCAAATCAGTTTTCTTCCTCTCGGAGTGCCTTTGCTGCAGAAAGCGTAAGTTTCACACACACGATTTAATGCGTTCTGTGTCATCACATGAAAAATGAACTGTTTTCAGGGGTGCCCAAACTTTTTCCCTGAGAGGACCAAAATGAAAATCAACCTCATGTGGGCTAAATGTGGTAATACATATAATACATGAATTACAAATACATTTTAAATAAAGTTCTTTTGTTTTTATGATTAAGCAAGCTGCCAGTGCGGTGGCTCATGCTTGCTTTTAGCCCGTGCACTTGGAGAAATTCTGATGTACACTTAAACAGCAAAGGCTCAGGGAACATTTCATAAGTTGATAAAATAAGAATATTTGTGGTCTCATGAAGTGTGCAAATCTGCATGTGGGTTTAAATCTAATTAAAATGTCTCTTCAGAATAAAATTCAAAGATAAAGTAAGCACCATGAGTGAAAACTATCTGCACTACAGCCCTTTATAAAGTTACTGGGCCAATGGACAGAATGACTATAATAGAAAACACAGTGTTTCTAGATGATAGCAGGAATATACAGCCTAGTAATCAGGCAAACTTCTGGTGGGCCTTATCAAATAGTTGGTGGGCCAATTGTGGCCCACAGGCCTCACTTTTGGCACCTCTGGTTTAGACTGAACTATGGACATTAACTCTTTCTGTGTGAGTGAAACAAAAACAGTGTATTCATAATCTGACTCCAACAATGTCTGTGTCTCTCACAAAAGAGGCAGGACTGCTCAAAATTATCTCATGGCCACACATTAACTAATGGGTGGCCACAGATTATTTTTTTTAAAACCTAATGTCACCTAATGTCTAATGGGCTCTGTACAAAAGCAACAGAACTTACGAGTTTTTCCTGGGACTCCAGCCGAAGCCTCCTGCAATACAAAAATGATAATAGAGTTAAAAAATAGCAAAAACTTGATTTTCCAAGAATATGACTAATTACAATATGACATAATACTTCAGTTTCAACACATCAGTTCTGTCATAAGTTAAAAAATAAATGAGCTCTCTATCAGGTCCTGCTTTAGAACTGAAGTGATCCAATGTATTTATTAGAATGTGTTATGTTCAAAAATATCCTGATTGGATTCAGCTATTGACAGTACCAGTCTATAAAGTTTAATGTTGGATGATGTTTTTACCTCCTCCATAGTGTCATCCAGCAGCTCAGTCATGACGCTCATGGGCATGTGCATCTGCACAGGCACAGAAGCTGCACACAGAAAAGAAATCAGTGCATGTAATATAAAACTTTAGGTGTCTCATGTGGAATTTTCTTGAAAAATTAATCAAATAAATTTGATTTGAACAAAAATTCAAACTCATTTTCAAGACAAGTTGTTCACCCATCTCTTAGAATTTCATTAAATATTCACAGGCATCTCTGAAATTTGTGTCCGGCCTGTGTTTCTAAAATTAAATTTCCATTCAATTTGTTGGACAGTACCAAGAATTTCTGTGTACTTTACAGAAAATTATAATAAAAAAAACATGATCATAAATATAGTCAGTCAAAGTCAGGGTCAAATCTCATTACATTCCAGTTTAAATCATTTTATTCTCGTTCAGTTTATTTCAGTTCAGTCCAGTAAGGAATCAGTTCAGGTTCAGTGAATTACAGCAGCTGCTGTGTGACCACCAGGTTACAGATTTCAGACCACCATCAGTCCTAAACTAAATCTGATCTCCTCACCAGATCTTCCCCTGGTCAGCTCCGTGTTGATTTTGTCGTTCTGCTCCTGCAGAGATTTGATGTCGCTCTTCTGGCTGAGGAGGAAGTAGGCGATCGCCGCCTGGCCCACAATCAGCACACAGCCCAGGAGAGTCAGTCCTGCCACCTTATAGGCCCGAGAGGAGCGGGGACTGAAACGTAAAAATGAAAACGGAAAGTTGTTGTTTTATTTTATGTATTGGTATCTATTGTGATGTCATGATGGGTACATTTTGATTTTAAAAAGTTTGAGGAACTTGGCTTAAAATTGGGGAAAGTTTTTTTAAACCACTCTGACAGGAACTGAAAATGTTAATTCAAAGCGAGTAATGACATCAGCTGTTATCAACCAGCTTTCTGAGGGAAAGTTTAGAATAAAAAAAACAGGGGTGCTTTTGGACCATCATCTGATTTTTAAAGATTTATATTCTTTCAAAACATCTGTTCATAACATCTAAAAACACACAAATCTCTAAAGCTCTAAACGTCTGGGTTTTGACTGGAGGAAAGAGGTCACCCTCCAATAGGAGGGTCGGGAGTTCGAAACAAACGTTGTTCATGTAAACCTGACGTCACCATTAAAGTTTTTTAAGCCAACAGTTCAATCACCTCAACAGAGTTTTCAACCCTTCTTTGTGTAGATTCAATTGCCACTTACAGTAAGTGGCAATTTCCAATATTTTGTCAATATAATACGTGACTTACTATAAATACATTTCTTTAAAAATATACATGTTTTATTTTTACTGAAATGGCTCAACACCAAAACCAGTTTTACTGAGTGTAAACAGGAAGTACGTAAACAGAAAATCAAATTAGAAATATATGTCCATCATTTCTGTCAAAGAATTATTGTTGTGAGGTACCATAAATCTTTTACGATCAATAAACATATACATAATATACATAAATCAATACAAACAAAAAACAAAACTGTCAAATTCTAATATTTTAACATCTGACAAAATCTGAAACTGTGTTTTTATCTCACACATTACAAGACCTTAAAACTAATAATATAAATGAAAAAAATATCACTATTTACCATTAACCTCTCACTGTAACCCCACTTTTAAAATTGAAATTTACCATTTTGTTTTATTTTTTTACCCTTTAGGGTTCACTTTTGCCCCCCAAAGGGCTCAAAAAGCAGATGAGATTTAATTATTAAACAATTATAACCAAACTATAAACAACTTGTTAAACATACAGACCAATAAAAATGTAATTTGTAATAAATTCCTCCTTACGCCTGTGCTGGGGTTCCCACAAGAGGCTCAGTTTGGGTCTCAGGGTCCGACATTTTCACGCACTCAGAAAACCTGTGAGGACAAATAACACACTGTAACAAGACAGATTAAAAGAGAGAGAGATAGAGACAGAACCAATACCTTTTAGATCAGAACAGCTCAGAAGTTGTTTCACACTGAGTTCTGGCTCCGGTCTTTTCACCCTTTTCAATGTTGTGAGTCAGAAGGAACTGAAAGACAAACCACATCAATTTTCTAACTAATTTGTATTTCGTCTGGAATTTTTTTTCTCAGCTTGACTTTTCATTGGTTACTTGTGATGACGCATCACCTGTTACCAGGCAGAACACTTAGACTTCAGCGTTGAAATCTTTCAGATGCGTTTTCAAACTCTTTCATCTGATCTTCAATATTTGTAATTAAGAGAATATATC